CCACTGTAGTGCCAGAAAACTGCTTTCCTGGTAGCGATAACATCTGCAAAGGAGTGTGTGTGAGCTGCAGGATCTAAGGACAGAGCTTCCTTATAAACAGTTCTCCAAAAACAAGGTGACTTTATGACCACATCCAAAATTTGTGTCTAAAGTTGTCTTAGTTTCATTTGAACCAGGAGCTATATTTGTTTTTTCCTAAGCTGCATTCATCTCCACTTGAGCATTGTCTCCATATCTTAGATATCAGGCCTTTTATCTGGACAGAACTAAACAGTTTCATGTTTTGCCTTTATTGTTTGTCTTGTATGCAGGCCTCATAGAATATCAGGGTTGGAAGGAGGTCATCTAATCCAACCCCCTGTTCAAAGCAGGATCAATCCCCAGACAGATTTTTGCCCCAGATCCCTAAATGGCCCCCTCAAGGATTGAACTCACAACTCTGGGTTTAGCAGGCCAATGCTCAAACCACTGAGCTATCCCTCCCCCATGAATGGTCAAACTGTCTATTTGCAGATGATCTCCAAATGGATAACATCCTGCATCAAAACGGCATATGAAATAGCCTCAGCTATGCCCCCCCTCACTGGGTGCGAGCTCATTTTACAAGGGCACAAGCAACATGCATATCATTTCTCAGTGTATTCTTTTCTGCATTGGACATTTGAAGGACTGCTATGTGGTTGTCGATACTACATTAATGAACCATTACACTCTAACCTCATCTTCCAGGGTGGATGCAGGCTTTGGTAGAGCGATCCTGCAGTCCTTGTTTATGTAGACTCAGAGCCTTGCCTCCTGGGGGTGGGTACAGTTTGTGAGTCACCTAAGTGGAAAACACAGCTGCAACAACTCGAAGAAGAAGAAACGGTTGCTTATGGTAACTCTGGTTCTTTGAGATGTGATTCTGATGTGTATTCCACAACCCACCCTGTGTTCCCTCTGCATTGGAATCTTGTGTTCAGTGCAAAGGAACTGAGGGAGGGCTGCCTCATGTAGCCAGTGGGGGGGCTATGGCCACAAGTCACGAGCGCCACCCCTCTATATGTACTGGGAGGCAAATTTCTCCTACTCAGGTTTGCTGGGCGCACACGCATCGAAATGGAATACACAGCTGCATTGTATCTCAAAGAACCACAGTTACAGTAAGTAACCGTTTCTTTCTCCTTTCCAGCTGCTAAGAGGGTAAAGCTTTACATTTCAGACAGTTGTTAGAAGATCCAAAAGATGGAGCCTCCTTTTCCAGCAGCTGGTAGTTTGAGTAGGGGTTGGACTTCTCATTGTGTTGTCACTGAAGCTTCCTACCCTTATTTCTATACCTGCATATGGCTACTAGGTGTCCGTGAATTTTCTCAAGCTCTGTTCTGTTTTAATTACTATATATTTAAGGTCCTGGATGAAGTTCTGAAATTACTATAAAAGTCAGTTTCAAATGGCATAGTCCCCGACATCACCTCACCCCCCTCAAAACAGCCACATTTCTAAGACTAATCAATATTGAACTGGTTTTTTTTTTTTTGTGTGGACTTTTCAAGACTCTGTAGATCCGTGGTTCTCAACCAGCATCCCAATCAGCACACATCTGCACCCCTGTGACATCCGCAGGGCCATACAGGTAGTATATATATTGTGTGGATATGGCCCACATAACACAGAAAGAGCTGCACATGCAGCCCTCAATGGTAAATAGGTTGAGAACCACTGTTCTACATTATACATTCTTTTGAGCAGGCACTGTCTTCCTTGTAAGACAATTTGGCCCTGATCCTAATTTGTTCCTCTGTTCAAAAATGAGTGCTATCAATAAAATCCCACAGAGAAGAGAAAGGTGATAGGCTGCAGATTTAAATTGAAGACCACAAGTAATGCCAGAGAGAAAATCCCAATCTGGAATCCATGCAGCATTTGAGTCCTTAAAACCAACAGCAGCAAAAAAAAATAAAATTATGCCTATTAAAAAGTGAGAGAGATGGATAAGACATTGGCAACCATAAAATGGTGAAAAGATTCCAGACCTTACCGTTCTAGCGGCAATGATTGAGAGAGATGTTAGTCCTACCAATGCAGAGAAGATATGTGCTAAAATATTCCAAGATTCTGGGAACCTTTTTTTTTTTTAAGTGTTTTTTAATTTAAAAATCCATTTTATGGTAAGTAACATATAAAATCTTTAATCCTATACTTTCCAGATTTGTCAGAAATTCTTCTTATACCTGATATTAAGCATACCAATTTCTAATAAATTAGTTACTCCAGTCAAAAGTTAGAGAGGATAGAAAACAGAACTTAGAATTGGGGGCTAGGGGGTGTGGGAAGCTAGCCTCTCCTTAACTGTGGAACCTTTACTGGTGGTGTCATACTGAATATGTTTGATTTAATAAAAATACCGTGCCTTCCTTTGATTGTTCCTCCCTATTTCTTTGTACCTTAGCAGATTTTTTTTTCAATCTTGAAACCTGGAACCAGTGTAGTAAATTGAGGTATTACTTAACATATACTGTGTCAGTATGTATTGTGAAATTTCCTCTGTTACTCGAAGAGAAACATTAGTAACAGATTTATAAGTGACTGTTTCTTTTTGTGAATCTGGGTTTAATGCTAACGTTTTGTGCAAGGTAGTGGAAGCAGTTGTGAGGTAAACATGATGAGTAATCTGGACCTGAAAGCAGAACAGATTATGTCATTAAAACAAGCTCTTAATTTAAAGATCTATTTAATTAGATTGGAAGCAAGAGAAATTCCACACTCTTAATTACATTCAGGAAATATCATTAAATTGTCTGAGAAAGTCGTCTTTGGAGACGTCGTCCTGAATCCTTAGTTTAAGTATCTCTACCTCTGAAGAATCTGTTGAAGGTTAATTCTTGGTCACATATTTAAATAATAAAAATAAAGCCTTTTCATGATTAACTCTGGCCTGGAATCCTTACATGCTTATCTCTTTTGGGTCAGAGGAAATATGAAAGTACATTGGAGATTTTAAATTGGAACATTGAAGGCAACCAGCAACTTGTCTAAGCCTTGTTGTATGTAGATGTTCTGGGCAACTGGCTAAGGTAATGCTTAGTTATCTGGTGTAACAGATACTCATTGTTAATTATACAAAACTACAGTACACTCAAGTTTAAAGGCATAATAATAACCATATGTATCAAATCTCTTGAACCATTACATGATGACTTCACAATGTAAGATTACCAGACTGTGAAAAGCGTAATTTTATAAGTCTGTATCAGATATGTGTGTTTGCTCAGAGTATACTGCACAAGTAAATAGAAAATCCAAAGTGTAAAAAAATGTAAATTTCCCAGTTTTAAAGAAACGTCAAAATGCCTACAACACCACTGAAAACAAAAATTTTAAAGATTTTTTTCATAACACTTTATTTTCTGCAGGATCTACATTTCCTTTTAATAAATAATTGTGGCATAGTGAATGGCTTGGAAGAAATCAATAATGGAATACTGTATATTGAGCTTTTCACCTTTACTTAGTTTATACCATAGCCATGAGACAGATGTTTTTTGGTTGTCAGTTGGATTTTTGTTTTCTGAAGACAATGTATTAAGAACAGGCATAGTCTCCAATCTCTAAATATCTATCAAATAACTTACCTCAGACTTTTATTACACAACTCAGTTAATATAAAAGGTCCAAGTCACATATATGATAGTAAAAACCTAGTCAACAGTGTCCTGCTTTTTAAAATGTTATACGTTTGTGAATTATAGAAATACATTATTCACCTACATATATTTGTAATATTGTAGCTAAAAATACTTGAGTTTAGCATTTTGATTTCTTCTTTAACAGTTGATGTTACTACTAATACAAAAACAGCAGTCTGGGGAAAATGTATATTGCCATATAGCCCAGAACAATGGCAACTGCAGTACAGAAAATGACATTTGAATGACATTCTGATAACCAGCACTAACCATCTGGTTATGCTGACCCTTTCCAATCAGAAGCTGGAAATTAAAAATGGCCTCTTCCCTCTGTTTTTTTGCAAATGCTACTTAACTCCAGAAAGGTGATTTACCCACCTGTCCCAATGTTCTCCTAAATTTACCATGTGGTTTTGCTCAGTGAATGATGTCCCCCATTCTGCACTTTGGGAGGCAAGTATATGGCTAAATGTATGTGTGTTCTCTTGCAGCAATGGACACAAATGCCACTTGTTAGCGTTTATGAGGTTTCCTTTTTAGTTTCAAAATCGATGTTCCGTGAGTACACCAAGTGCTGGTGAGCTAATATCATTCAGGGAGGTGGATACAACTTAATTTAACAAACATCCATCCATTTTAGTACACAAAATATTTGGGACAATCATATTTGTCAGACAACCAAACTTGATACACACATTGCCCTTGGAATAATCACTTTAAAATTGTTTTTCTAGCATACTAAATGATACGGAGGGGAAATTGGTTCCCTGGTCTTAAACATTTTTATTAAGCTTCTTTTTAAAGTAATGCTTTTATGGTGTATTGTTGTGAATAGCGTAATGGGTTAATACTCTAGCCTGTTGATGCTGAAGGTTTAAGTTAATCTGTATTTGGCACAAATATAAGGGTTTTAGTCCATGTTGTTTCCACATTATTTATCCATGCTACAAAACCATCTCTCTGCTAGCAATCCTTGGGGAACACCTGGTACAACAGAATATACTTCTAGTCCAGCTGAAATAGTGTGGTAGTTTTACATTTCATTAAGGGCTTGTAAATGCTTAGAAATGTTGTAAATCTAAACTATGGAGGTTTCTAGTGACAGAATTCTAGAAAATATAATTCAGGACCATGAAACAAAGAAGATCTGGTATCCAGCCTGTCTAAGAGAAAATAAATCTCACAAACATACTCAGTTACTTTTGATAAACTTAGTCAGAACATGTCAACTGTACCTATGTTAGTATGAAAAAGATTGTCTGTAGCTTCTTCTCTTTTCATCTGTAGCTTTCCTATTATCTCCTTGCATTAATTTTAATCTTTTTAATATTTCAGTCACGTAGTGTGGACAAGCAACACGCTGTAGTTAACTATGATGCCTCTACAGATGAACACTTGGTGAAGGATTTGGGCAGCCTAAATGGGGTAAGTTAACAAATCCAAGATGGCTTCCTCAGACATGTAGGATATATCTTTTTTTTCTTTGAAAACAAACAGATAATTAACAAATAATCATGAAGTTCTTGTAATGCAAATGGGGAGAACAGCTAAAGAAAATGTTTTTATTCCCTGCTACTATGGAACATTTAAAAGGGGGCAAAGTCAAATGTTACAGTAATACGAGAGCATGACTGTGTTAAATTAAAGTTGAAGTAGAGAAACTTCGGAAGAATAAAAATGAACATGGTGTAAGTATTTGTACAGCATATATCGCAGTGGGTTCCTGGTCCATGACTAGGGCTCTTAGGCACTATGTTAATACAAATAATAAAAGTACTTCTGTAGCATTTCAGACATACAGAAGCAACAAATCTCTAGTTGAATAGGTCCGTATATAAGCATACTAATAAGGTGGTATCACACTCTCTAAAATTTTAGTGCTGGGGAAAGCATACTTACTGTAGGAAATCGTGTTTAGCCTGTTAATAGTGCATTGGAATCCTTTTTCCTCTTTTTTTCTGGGAAAAAAGCATATGTTATACATGTATGTGAAAAAAGTTATCCAATAGTTGATTTCATATAAAATTATTTTCCCATAGTTTTTGTAATTTGTCTTTGCTATTTTAGCATATCTTCTTTTTTCACTGTAATTTATCTGTGAATATCATGTAATAAATGTCAAGTTAGTGGATAGAAAATCTATAATATAGTAAAGAGGCAATAAAGTTCTCAAGAGCAGAACTGTTCATAAAAAGCTTCATATGATCTTTTACGTTTTAAGGCACTTCTAGGGATTGCATTTGCAACCTGCTGGGTAAGCTTTCACCTTTTTGTAAGTGTGTTAAATATATTAGTGTACGTCGTAGTTTATTTTAAAGTTTAGCGACTGTCATATTTTAGTAGTCCTTTTAGACATTACCATATTAACTTTATATAGACTGTAGTCGTGACTGAATTAAAGAATGTGGAGTATAAAACCTGTTTATATTACAGTAGAACCTCAGTTACATACGTCTCGGGAATGGAGATTGTTCATAACTCTGAAATGTTCGTAACTCTGAACAAAACGTTATGGTTCTTTCAAAAGTTTACAACTGAACATTGACTTAATACAGCTTTGAAACTTTACTATGCAGAAGAAAAATGCTTCTTTTAACTATCTTAATTTAAATGAAACAAGCACAGAAACAGTTACCTTACCTTGTCAAATCTTTTTAAAACTTTTCCTTTTTTTTCAGTAGTTTATATTTAACACAATACTATATTGTTTTTATGTCTCTGCTATACCTGATTATGTACTTCCAGTTCCAAATGAGGTGTGTGGTTGACTGGTCAGTTCATAACTCAGGTGTTCGCAACTCTGAGGTTCTACTGTATATTTAAAAAAACGTGTTCAGCTGTGACTCCTGGGACTGTACTTAGTGAAAATGCCATCTCTTCACTGCACTTCAATTCCTGTAATATTTGACAAGCTAAATCAGTATTGCCCATGTGTTTACTGATAGTCTTTGGTTCGATTTTTTGTTTTAATCTCCCCAGCATCATGCCTCAGACATTCTGTGATAGCTCACCCAACATGCAAAGGATACATATCAAAGGATTCCTTATTTTCCCAAAGTTAGGGTAGAGAATATTAGGTCATATGAATGTAGTCCTTACATTTTTACCCATCTCTTCCTTCTGAACCTCGCCCGTTTTCTGCTAAACCTGATGCCCGTAGCTCATAATTTTCGCTGACATCACAATGTCATGCATCAGCCAAACAACAAAAGTTGCTGGGCAGCGTATACAGTAACTTCACACCTTTCACAGAACTAAAAAATTGAACATTGCCTTGGTACACACATCACAACCTAATTTCATTTATGTGCTAACAAAATGATCCCAGCTAGTAACATACTGGATGCTTTAAAAGGGTCAATTTCCTAAAGCTGAAAACAAGTATGAGCAAAATAGAATGGGAGGAGAAATTTAAGACCAGTTCGAACAATTTCAGATCCTTGCTTATGTTTAGGGTGTTTTGTCTTTTTTTTTATTTTATTTTATTTTAAAAAGGGGGTAATTCCTTGCTTGGCTCCCCTTTTTAGTCGGCCCAGATGGCATAGCTCAACCAACTTCTGTGCAGTTTTTTATTCTATTTTAAATGACAGTCTTTGTAGTCTACTGTAGAGAGGTCATGCTGAGGTGTAAGGAAAGTTAAGGAGGGATTTGCCAAACCCAATGGTGTCCATGCAAGCCCAAATGGGTGGGTAACAGAATGGATAAGAGGCTGCCACCTCTGTTCTGGTAGTGGAGCCTGAGGTGTTTTGTGGGACTTCTGCTCTCATGAGCCTTCATTGGTCTCTTTACCATGAGAATTACTGTGTTCGTATGAATACAGAGAATTGTTGCTTTGGTTCCAGACATGCAAAAACAGCCCTGTTCAGTAAACTTAACACAAACAGCATAGGCTGTGCTGGGGGTCACCCCATTTGCCCTGTCCTCTTCCTTCTTCACATACTTGGCCAGTAACTCTACTGTGATCTCCGTAGTTTGACAGTGACACCATGGTCAGCAAGGCATTTAGACATCCAATCATAAAAAAAGTTTCCCAAATTAGTTCAGCTGAGACTCAATTTTATTGTCAGACAAATATTCATTGTACTTCACTAGTATGATTGCTTCTTTTGTGCCATACTCCAAAAATAGTTTAACAGTGATCACAAAGAAGCAGGTGCTGGTGAGAAACCACTTGCAAGAGACTTGCATAGGTAAGGGGCTTCTGAGAATATTGACCTTGAACTAACAGAGTGCAAAAACTTGACCAGAAGGGTCACTTGAGTGGTGGTGGCTTGAGCACTGTTAGATGGTAATGGGCGCTGTTAGAGCAGCACTTGCTGTCTATCTTGGATATGTCCACATGTGGTCAGACTGTTACTACTCCATCCTTAGAGGTTTTTAAGGCCCAGCTTGACAAAGCCCTGGCTGGGATGATTTTGTTGGTGTTGGTCCTGCTTTGAGCAGGGGGTTGGACTAGATGACCTCCTGAGGTCAGTTCCAAACCTAATCTTCTATGATTCTACTCATTATGCCATAGGTGGCCAAACCGTGGCTCTTTTACAGTTAAAGTGCATCTCTCGGAGCCTCCCATGCCTTCCCCATTCTCCACCTACCAGACTCTTTGGGAGAGCTCGGGGCTTATGCCCTGCAGTGGAGTTGTGGGGTTCTAGGGGCTTCTGCCCAGCAGGGAGTGGGGGTCTTAAGGCATCAGCAAGAGAGGGGTTGAAACCCTGAGCACCGGCAGGTGTGCCCCAAGGGGGCTGGAGCCCCGAGACCCCACAATGCCACATTTCAGAAGCCCCTAGCCCCACCACCCCACCGCAGGGTTGAAGCCGCAAGCCCAGGCTCTCGAACTTCTGAAGATTGTAGTATGCGGCTTGAAGGGTCAGTAAGTTTGGCCATCCCTGCATTATGCAATAATCTGAGTTTATCTCCCTTCTGGAAATAATTTGTATTACTCGTTTGTGTAAATTAGGATATATTTTCGGTTACAACTTTGGCTGTTGAATCCCCACTATACAAGGGGTGCTGTTGTCTGGTACTACGATACACTTTGGTCTCTGGGATTAAGCCTTCTACTTACTGCAAAAAGTCTGTGCCAATGAGTGACCCTCATTCCAGATGCCTAAAGTGCCTCCTTGTGGGTCACATTTGAGTGCCACGTCTTCAGAGGATTGAAAAAGGACAAAAAGGGATTGAGGGATGAGACTGCGTCACTTCCTCCTGGAAGCTGCTCTGCATCCACCTTCTGCACCTTCCCACTCAGGGCAGGTACCAAATACTTTCCCCTTGAATAGGAGTGCCTCTCCAGACATTGCATCAGAAAGTCATCAATTAACCCCTTTTCCAGTGCCAAGAAAGAAGCACAAAGCATTGGAATGGCATTCCTCGAAGGAGCCAACCTACTTTGGAAGGTCCAGCTCCCCAGTACCATCGACTAATAAACACTGAGGAGGTAAAATGTTACCTGGAAAGATGACCCACTTCTTCTCTTCAGGAGTTGTCGGCAGTAGTACCTGAGCCATTGGACCAACTCCCACTGCAGTGCCAACCTCTTTGATGCAACAATAGCAGCATCAAGGAAATATCTTGGTACTGATGATGCCAGAGGGGACACCGCAACACAGGACCAGCTCTGCATCTCAGTCTGAGAACCTCCGGTGGCGCTGGAGACACACCAGCTGGTACTGGTTCCTGCTTAGGCTGTGTCTACAGACTTACTTTTAAGAGAAATTCAGCCCTTGGTACCATGTGCCGCTACGTCTTCAGACTGTCCAGCACTTCCTTGCTCAGTACAGTACAGGGTAAACCCAGCATGCTGTCCCTGGTACCAACATTTTCAGAGAGATGCCACCTCACCTTGACATCAACTGGTGCAGCTCCTCCATGGTCAGGGGATTCAGGGTCCTCCTCGGAGTCTGAGGTAAGTTTTGATGACCCTCACATCTGCAATAGAAGATGATACTCACCTTCATAATGAGGATTCCACTCCTGGTACCCATCAGATTTCCTGAGATCAGATCAGAGACTCAGATCCTTGGAGTGGTTGTGGCTGGGGTCCTGTGCCTTACCAACTGCCTTACTGGAACCAATTGGGCTTGCCTCCCATTACCAGATATCCTGATTCTTTATATAGATCCCCAACAGACATTGGGCTGGTTCCCAGGAGGAAACCAATGATGATGATGCCAGTACCAAGCAGGAACCTCAATTTGAGCCTCAGATTTTGGAATCTCAATCCACCTCAGTACAAGACGCTCATACTCAACTTTCTCTGCATGTCTCATCATCACCTGACAAGGATGTGGTGCTGAGGATTGTTCTCCTGTCCAGGACAACTACAGGGCCTCAGGGCCTACCAGGAGTTACTAACAAAAATAGCTACCTCTCTTGGCATTCAGGTTTAAGTGGTTCAGGAGAGTTTCCATAGGCAGGTGGACGACATA